GTATTCTTTGCACTTGTATCTGTAGCTATAAAATCATGCTGTGTTATTCAAATTCTTTAGAGATTTAGTTAACAGCTTTTGCTTTAAACATTTCAATGCTAAATGCTTGGTGCAAAAAGGTTCATGGTCATCAAATCCACTTAATAGATATTAGGTTTTATCAACATAAACTAATGTTCTTGTCTCACTGAACCATTCCCCAGTATCCCTGAATTCCATTTTGTCTAGTATTAGGTACCACTCCTTGCTTCTGTCATCAATTCATATATATCTTTGCTTATCCTAATACTTTTGTCATTTGCTTTAAATAGTAAAGCAGGATTTTTATGTTAACTCAATCTATAAGCTTTCGTCTTTTAACCAGGGAAGCAATAGTGTATTATAAGTGTAATAATCTATTCAACTCTAAAATTCACTCACATTTTTTAACAGAAAAATCATTTTGTCCTATTATTCACAAAATAAAGCAAAATTGGTACGTAGGTAGGTGGCAAAAATATTTTTCTGATTCTATGGGATTCTATGTTTATTGTTTTATTTTTCTTTTTTGTTTAATTTATTGGGGTGACATCCTATATAATAAAGACACAATATGCAAATTGACACACAAGATAGCCGCCACAAGATGATCAGCAGGGGAGGGCAGTTGAGAGGGACCAGGCCTGCAAAGGAGGGAAGTTGGGGGCAAGCAGGCCTGCAGGGAGGGCAGTTAGGGGTGACCGGGCTGGCAGAGGAGGGCAGTTGGGGGGGACCCAGGGCTACAAGAGAGGGCAATTGGGGGAGACCAGGCCAGCAGGGGAGGGCAGTTAGGGGCAATCGGGCTGGCAGGGGAGGGCAGTTAGGGGCGACCAGGCCTGCAGGGTAGGGGAGTTGGGGCAACCAAGCCTGCAGGGGAGGGAAGTTAGGGGCAATGGGGCCGGCAGGGGAGGGCAGTTAGGGGTGACCGGGCCAGCAGGAGAGGGCAGTTAGGGGCAATCGGGTCGGCAGGAGAGCAGTTAGGCGTCGATCAGGCTAGGAGGGGAGTGGTTAGGGGGTGATCAGGTTGGCAGGCAGAAGCGCTTAGGGCAGGGGTGGGCAAACTTTTTGACTCGAGGGCCACAATGGGTTCTTAAACTGGGCCAGAGGGCCGGAACAAAAGCATGGATGGAGTGTTTGTGTGAACTAATACATGTTAACACTGCTGCTGGTGAAGGAGTGGAGGGGAGAGCAAGAGAACCCTCCGCTCTTTCGGCTCCGTGGGCCGGATAGAACAGCCGAACGGGCCGGATCCGGCCAGTAGGCCGTAGTTTGCCCACGGCTGGCTTAGGGGCAATCAGGCAGGCAGGCAGGTGAGCAGTTGGGAGCCAGCAGTCCTGGATTGTGAGAGGGAAGTCCGACTGCCCACAGGGACCGGGCCTAAATGGGCAGTGGGATCAGGCCTAAACGGGCAGTCGGACATCCCTCAAGGGGTTCCAGATTGGAGAGGGTGCAGGCTGGGCTGAGGGACAAGCCCCTGCCCCATTCACGAATTTCGTGCACTGGGCCTCTAGTCTATATATATAAAAGGCTAATACGTTAAGTGTCCATCTGTTTGCTATGACATGCACTGATCATCAGGGAGCAGATGCTCAATGCACAGGCATGGAAACATGGAACAGACTGATGAATCTCAGAGGGAAGGGGGGAGGGGAGAGAAAGGAGGGTGAGAGGAGATTAACCAAAGATCTTATATGCACACTAGAGGCCTGGTGCATGGATTCATGCACTGGTGGGGTCCTTGGCCTGGCCTGCGCCCTCTTGCAGCCGGGGATCCCTTGGGGAATGTCAGACTGCCAGTTTTGGCCCGATCCCTGCACACCCTCTACTGGGGAAAGAGCCTGCAATTCGGGCATGTGCCCTAACTAGGAATCAAACTATTCATGGGTTGATGCTCAACCACTGAGTAACACTAGCTGGGTACCCCTTTTACCTTCTGTTACTTCCAGTTACCCTCCTTTCCCTCTGGTAATCACCACACTGTTTTCTGTGACTATATTTTTGTTTGTTTTTGCTTAATTCCTATGTAAGAAAATCCTACCAACACTGACATATTCTAAAATAACATATGGGCACTTGTCAGGGACGAACAGAAGTTCATAGGTTGATGCTCAACACTGAGCCTCACAGGCCAGGCTAAAAAAATGATTTCTTGCTTTAATAATACTTTTTAAATTAACTGACAACTACCACCCCAGTCCACTCTAAATAAGAGGTTTCAAATGTAAAGGAAAAAATAGTAAATGTATTACTTCCTGGCAACCATAAAGCCTGTGTTTTCTTTAAGATTTTATTTTATGGATTTAAAAGGTAAAATCATAAAGAAGCCAGAGAAAACATTGGCCAGATAAAAATGACGGTTAAATGCTCATTAGAAACAATACCTGACAAGAGATGATGGAATCACATCAATAAAGTAACGAAAGACCAAAAAACGGAGATGGGGGATCTATATTCAGTGAAAATATTCTTTCAAAATAAAGATAAATGTAAAATTTTCATATAAACTCAGGAAATCTGTACCAAACTCTTCCTCACAAAGTCATATTAGAATGCAAGCAAATTGGTATGACATTAGTATAAGCATAAACTCTAACCTGGTCTAATTTTAGTATTTTTTAATTTAAAAAAAATCAGTTGTAAATTCCATTATTAGTTATAAAATATTTTTGACCTACCACACAACCACCATGATATACAAGAGTTCATTTCCATACTATGTGAATGACTGCTGACATCCTAATATATAAAAAGCTAGAGGCCATCGAGCCAAAATGACCGGATGGACGATAGAACAGCAGGGGGTCCGCAATGGGGGCAGGGCCGTGGTGGACGCCTCTCCGCATGCCTGCACCCGGGGTCTGGTTCAAATCCTGGATTGTGAGAGGGTGAGTGAGAATGACATAGGCTAAGGGACCAACAGGGGGCTAGTGGGGGTGGAGTTGATCTTGGATGAGCAGGTAGGTGAGACTGAGTCTCAGAGGGCAGAGCCCTGGCCAGGAGGCCTGTGGTCTGGGTAAGGCAGCCATAGGAGGGATTAGTCTTGGGGATGACACAGGACTTTGGCATTGTAGAAAGAGTAACTTCAGCAATCAACTGTACACCCCAAATGCTTTTTCTTCGATGGTCCAGGTGGTAGTGGAAAAACGTTATCTTTATAAAACTTGAATACATTGTATTAGAGGTCGTGGTGGTACTGTTTTACCCACAGCATCTACAGGAATTGCTGCAAATTTATTTCTCGGTGGAAGAACCTTTCATTCCCAATATAAATTACCAATTCCATTACATGAAACTTCAATTTCTAGACTTGATATAAAGAATGAAGTTGCTAAAACCATTAAAAAGGCCAAACTTCTCATTATTGATGAATGCACCATGGCATCCAGTCATGCTATAAACGCCATAGACAGATTACTAAGAGAAATTATGAATTTGAATATTGCATTTGGTGGGAAAGTTCTCCTTCTTGGAGGGGATTTTCGACAATGTCTCAGTATTGTGCCGCATGCTATGTGATCAGCCATAGTATAAATGAGTTTAAAGTATTGTAGTGTTTGGGGATGTTTCAAAAAGTTGTCTCTTAAAACAAATATGAGATCAGAGGATTCTGCTTATAGTGAATGGTTAGTAAAACTTGGAGATGGCAAACTTGTTAGTAGTTTTCATTTAGGAATGGATATTATTGAAATCCCCTGTGAAATGATTTGTAATGGATCTATTATTAAAGCTACCTTTGGAAATACTCTATCTATAGATAATATTAAAAATATATCTAAATGTGCGATTTTTTTGTCCAAAAAATGAACACATTCAAAAATTAAATGAAGAAATTTTGGATACACTTGATGGAGATTTTCACACATATTTGAGTGATGCTTTCATCAATTCAAAAGATAATGCTGAAAAGGAAAATTTTTCCATTGAATTTCTTAATAGTATTACTCCTTCGGGAATGCTGTCTCATAAATTAAAACTGAAAGTGGGTGCAATCATCATGCTGAGAAATCTTAATAGTAAATGAGATCTTTGTAATGGTACTAGATTTATTATCAAAAGATTGCGACCTAACATCATTGAAGTTGAAGTATTAACAGGATCTGCAGAAGGAGAGGTTGTTCTGATTCTAAGAATGGATATGTCCCCGTCTGACACTAGCCTCCCATTTAAATTAATTCAAAGACAGTTTCCCGTGATGCCAGCATTTGCAATGCCTATTAATAAATCACAAGGACAAACTCTACAGCAGTGATGGCGAACCTACGACACACGTGTCAGAGGTGACACGCGAACTCATTTTTTTGGTTGATTTTTCGTTAAGTTGCATTTAAATATATAAAATAAACATCAAAAATATAAGTCTTTGTTTTACTATGGTTGCAAATATCAAAAAATTTCTATATGTGACACGGCAGCAGAGTTAAGTTAGGGTTTTTCAAAATGCTGACACGCCGAGCTCAAAAGGTTCGCCATCACTGCTCTAGAGAGTAGGAATATTCCTACCTGAACCCGTTTTTGCACATGGTCAGTTATACGTTGCTTTCTCTTGAGTTCGAAGAGCTTGTGATGTTAAAGTTAAAGTTGTAAATACTTCATCACAAGGGAAATTAGTGAAGCACTCTGAAAGTGTTTTCACTCTTAATGTAGTATACAGGGAGATATTAGAATAAGTTTAATCAATTTATCAGTCATTGTTTGTATCAGTGTTGTTTTCACATCATGTTTTGTTGTTTTTATATCATGTCTTTGTTGTTGTTATATCATGTTGTGATTATTAATAAATTTATGCATTATTTTCATATACATTTTACTAATTTTTCTTTCATCTCTGACACTTCTATTATAGAAAAAGGGCAAATAGCAATATTAAAATATTTCCTCTAATTAATTCCCTTTTAATGTGCATGAATTTCGTTCACTGGGCCACCAGTATAACATAACAATATAGCAACAATAACTGCTTATTTCATTCTTAACAAACTTACCTTTCTGTTTTGGAAAAATCTGTTCAGGATGCTGTAAAATAAATTTAAAAATGCATTAGATAATTATTGCAACATATAAAACTAAGTGAAATTTTTAAAAATATGAATTAAGATAATTACCTTCATTACTGGTCTGGCTCGCTTCTCAAACAAACCACTGGGAAAAAGATAAGCAATAGCTCTCTGAAAATACACATAAAGGTTAATTAACAATTGTTATAAAAACCAGTTAATGTCACGATTAACAGTTATTGAGTGCAAATGTGCCAGATATCACATTAAGAGTTTCATATATATTATCTCATTTCAACATAATCAAAATGAAAGAATGTTACCACATACACATCCTCCAAAAGAAAAATTGTAAGGAAAGTAGTCCATAGTTCTACAACCCCCAGTAGATGCCTGAAACTGCTGATAATCCCCAACCCTATGTATGCCATGCTTTTTCCTATACATACATATATACCTATGGTGAAGTTTACAGCTTCTCTTTGGCATAACTGAATTGCCAGCACCATTACTCTTGGGATCTGGGGCCATTGTTAAGTAAAATAAGGGTTACTTGAACATAAGCACTGTGATACCTCAACAGTGAATTTGATACTAAGTGACTAAGAGGTGGGGAGTGAATACAGCTTGGAGACAGAGGACAAAGGCTGATTCACATGCCGGGTGAGATGGAAGGGACAGCGATTTCTGGAATTTTTCATTTAATATTTTCAGAGTGAGAAAGTCCACAGGTAGCTGTAACTGAGGAAAGCGAAACTGTGGATAAGGGGGCATTACCGTATTAAACTAGTTATGAACAATTTTCAAGTGTCTCCTCAAACATGAAAGTAATAGCACACATACAGATCATCTCTTCCTTTTAAAGGAACCCTAGACTGGCCGCTACACAACTGCTGAGCTAATGTGCTCCAACGCAACCCTAACACCCAGCTGGAAGTGCAAATATCAGGCAGAACACTGAACAGAGTAGGCTGTTCAGTGACACCCACTGATTTTCTGGCTGCTCTTTGAACTTTTCCTAGAAGTTGTAAGTGATTTTAAACTACATATTCCCAGATGAGGATGCTATTGGCACTTTGAGTGTGATAGCTCCATTGTAGGCAACTTTCTTCTACACTGCAGATCACTTAACATCCCTGGCTCTTTATTAAAAATCTGTGCCATGTCATCCCCAGTGCTTGTGACAAATCTCACGCACACACATTTAAAATGTCCTTTACCTCTGAAGGAGCAGCACTGCGGGAAACTTGAGAACGGCTTTAGCCATTTGTGTCTTCTCCAAAAGCCCTGTCACAATTAAAAGCAAAAACACCCCACAAAAAGCACTCATTTTGTTGAGCGATGTCAGGTGAAGTGAGGCCCTGGGGCGTGTGCCCTCTGAACTCTAAATGAACTGGTGGCCCGTGTGAGCACTGTGCTACTCTCCTGGAGAGCCTGTTCTCAGGATGGGCCTGCTCCTCCATCACCAAGGACGTGTGCTGGTCCCAGTTCTCTCCTGAAAGTAGGGGCCTATAATTTGGGGGTACAAATTCAATTATAGTAGGAGCCCAGCTGTGTCTCTGAGTCAAGATTATTCTCATTAAAGCTTTTGCCAATAAAATTGACACTAAAAAAAGTGAAATACCAGAATGTTAATTTTGTGAACTTTTCCTTTTTAAAACCAGGTACACCTGTCCTTTTCTTCTGATGCAGAAAAGGTGGAATTTTTAATAAGCAATGTGAATAACTGCAATAGGCAAAAGATAAACTAGATCCAAACCTCAAACCATACAGTAAAGGAAACTCTACATGAGTCAGAGAGCTAAACATAGAAAATGGCAACAAAATAAAACTAGTACTAAACATCAGTGAATTCTTTATAATGTAGCTATCCAAGTCTTCCTTAACTATGACTCAAAATTCAGAAGCAAAAAAGACTGACCAAATTAAGCTATATTAAAAAATGAAAAAATGTGGCTCTAATGTATTCATAATAAGAGAAGTACAATTAAAACCACTGAGTTAATGCTTTTCACCCAACAGAACTAGCAAAAATTCAAAAGCCTGACAGCACATTGCTGAAGGATAGAAAGCTCTGGCAGTGCCTTGCTGGTGGAGTGTTAAATGGTGCCACAAACATGGAAAGCTTGACACTATTTAACAAAACTACATATTTCTCCCAGCAATCCCATTTCTATGAATTGCTCTTAAAGATACACCCCCTCACAAATACAAAACAACATAAGCACAGGTTATTCATTGATTTATAAAAGCAAAAATTAGAAACAACCAAATCCCCAGAAATGAATTTGGTTGAATAAATGATGGTACATCTATGTGACAAAGTACTTTAGAGCCATAAAACAAAAAAGATTGAGAAAAACAAGATGCAAAAGAAATGTACTTAGAATGAGACCACTAGTGTGAGAAAGAGAAACAGAAATAAGAAAATACATACTGGAATAGAAGAATAACACACACGTTTCTTTTTGGCAAACATAAACACAGAAAGAATTAAGCGGAAAATAATAAAAATCATTACCTATTAAAGGACTAGAGGCCCGGTGCAAAAAATTCATGCACTCAGGGAGAGGGTCCCTAAGCCCGGATTGCGAGGGGGCGCAGGCCAGGCCAATGGATTGTGAGACATTTAGATATCCAAGTCTTCCTTAACTATGACTCAAATTCAGAATCAAAAGACTGACCAAATTAAGCTATATTGAAAAATGAAAAAATATGGCTCTAATGTATTCATAATAAGAGAAGTACAATTAAAACCACTGAGTTAATGCTTTTCATCCAACAGAACTAGCCAGGCCAATGTCTCGCAATCCAGGACCCCACTGGTGCATGATCGGGGCTGGGAGGGAAACGGGAGGTTGGCCAGCCAGGGAGGGACCATGGGAGGGATCCAGTGTGTGTCCAGCCTGTCTTGCTCAGTCCCCATCAGCCAGACCCCAGAAGCAAGCTAACCTACCGGTCAGAGCATCTGCCCATTGGTCAGTGCATGTCATAGCAAAAACGGTTGAGAAGCCTTAGCATATCATTAGCATATCATGCTTTGATTGGCTGAACAGCTGACAGGACGATTGGACACTTACCATAATAGGCTTTTATTATATAGGACTAGATGCCAGGTGCACGAAATTCATGCATGGGGGCAAAGGGGTCCCTCAGCCTGGCCGGCACCCTCAGGGGATGTCTGACTGCCAGTTTAGGCCTGATCCCTGTGGGGAATTGGACATCCATCTCGCAATCCAGGACCGCTGGCTCCTAAGCACTCACCTGCCTGCCAGCCAGATCGCCTTAACTGCTCTCCCCTGCCAGCCTGATCGCCCCTAACAGCCTCTGCCTCGGCAATGCCACCATGGCTTTTGTCTGGAAGGTCGTCCGGAAAAATTCCTGTCTAATTAGCATATTACCCTTTTATTAGTATAGACTAGAGGCCCGATGCACAAAAATTTGTGCACTCGGGGGGGAAGGGGCGTCCCTCAGCCTGGCCTGTGCCCTCTCGCAGTCTGGGACCCCTCGGGAGATAACGACCTGCTGGCTTAGGCCTGCTCCCGGGTGGCAGAGGGCAGGCCCAATCCCTAGGTGCAGCCCCTGGTCGGGCTCAGAGCAGGGCTGATTGGGGAGTTGGGGTGCCACCCCCTGTCATGCACAGAGCAGGGTGGATCGGGAGGTTGCGATGCCACCCTCAGTCACGCTTAGGGTAGGGTCGATTGGGGGGTTGGGGCACCGCCCCCCGTCACACTCAAGGCAGGGCTGATGGGGAGGTTGTGGTGCCACCCCGTCACGCACAGAGCAGGGCCAATCAGGGGGTTGGGGCGCTGCCCCCTGTCACTCACAGAGCAGGGCCCATCAGGGGGGTTGGAGCTCTGTACCCTGTCACGCAGAGCAGAGTCGATCAGGGGGTTGGGGCGCCGCACCCTGTCACACACACAGCCGCAGGGCGATCAGGGGGTTGGGGAGATCCCCCCTATCACGCACAGAGCAGGGCTGATCAAGGGGTTGGGGTGCCTTCCCCTGTCACGAACAGAGCAGGGCGGATAGGGAGGTTGTGGCCCCGCCCCATCACACACAGAGCCGCAGGGCGATCAGGGGGTTTGGGCGCTGCCCCCTGTCACGCTGATCCCGGTGCTGGGAGGCATATTAGCATTTTACTATATAGGATAGAGGCCTGGTGCACGGGTGGGGGCCGGCTGGTTTGCCCTGAAAGGTGTCCTGGATCAGGGTGGGGGACCCACTGGGTGCCTGACCAACCTAGATGAGGGAATGATGGCTGTTTGCAGCTGGTCACACACCCTTCAGGGTGGGGGTCCCCACTGGGGTGCCTGGCCAGTCTGGGTGAGGGGCTGAGGGCTGTTTTCTGGCTGGCGGGTGACTGAAGCTCCCAGGTGCCAGGTGGACGAAATTCATGCATGGGGGCAAAGGGGTCCCTCAGCCTGGCCGGCACCCTCGGGGAATGTCTGACTGCCAGTTTAGGCCTGATCCCTGTGGGGAGTTGGACATCCATCTTACAATCCAGGACCGCTGGCTCCTAAGCACTCACCTGCCTGCCAGCCAGATCGCCTTAACTGCTCTCCCCTGCCAGCCTGATTGCCCCTAACAGCCTCTGCCTCGGCAATGCCACCATGGCTTTTGTCTGGAAGGTCGTCCGGAAAAATTCCAGTCTAATTAGAATATTACCCTTTTAGTAGTATAGACTACAGGCCCGGTGCACAAAAATTTGTGCACTCCGGGGGGAGGGGGGGTTTCTTCAGCCTGGCCTGTGCCCTCTCGCAGTCTGGGACCCCTCGGGAGATAACAACCTGCTGGCTTAGGCCTGCTCCCGGGTGGCAGAGGGCAGGTGCAATCCCTAGGTACCGCTCCATTTTTCTTTCTTTTTTTTTTTTTTATTCCGGGCCAGCTTTAGCTCTGAGGTTTGGCTCCAGCTCTTATGCCTTGGCTGCTGAAAGCAGGTATCTGGTTTGTTTGGGTTCTATAATCGAAACACTGTTTCAATTCCAGCTCTGAGATCCCAGCTGGCTGAAAGCAGGTTTCTGGGGTTTTGTTTAGCTTCTATATTTGTAACAATGGTTCAAACTGCAAGCTCAGAGGCTGGCAGCGGCAGTCGGGGAACGTTGGAGTCCTCTGTCACTGAAGCAAGCAAGCCTCATGATTGCTGCAAGCAGCCTGGCTGGCGGCCGCCA